GAAAGAGCTGAAACCAAAGTAATGTTCTGTGATCTGATATCAGCTGTGAAACAGAGGCTGACAAATGCAACTGCTAAGAAGGCAAGTGTTGAAACGATGCAGGAGAACTGTCAGGCCCAGCAGCCCTCAGCATGAGTGTCAAAAATGAAAAGCACTGTTCAGATCAATCTTCCTGACTCCACTAAGCTCTCTGCTGACCAGGAGGCTGCACAGGACTGCATGGAGCTGCCACTCTCTAGAGGCTGTGAACTCCCAGTTGCCATCAGAGCACTCTTGTTGGAATGTACAGCTCTTCCCAAAGTAAGGAAATTTGCAGAGGTGCTAAATTGGTTACCATAAAAGGGTTTGAGACTCAAATTGTCACACTTCTAAGTGTTTTTCATCGTGAAAAAGCCTGAGGCCCTGGGGCTGGAGGATGCTACACAAGGCTCTTCTGTATCAACAGTTTTAGCAGCACTGGGAGGATTGAGCTGAGCAACCAGCTACAAATTGGGATATAAAATGGGGCCAGTTTAATCTCAGAAATGGTAAAGGGAAGTCTTCTATTGCACTCAAATGTCACACTTGAGACCCAACAGCTCTCATAGGCAAGCTGAGGACATTTTATGAGACTCTGACACTGTGAATTTCTGGTTTGCAAAACTGGAATGAAAAATGCTTATTTAAAATAAGTAAGCTTGTGCTAATAATTGAAAATCAGTTATATATTTAGAAAGTATGAGTATGAAAGAAACATTCCTTGTAGTATTTACTGAAACTTCTTTTGACAAGCAGAGAAGAAAGAGGTCTACTCCGAACTGCCCCTGTCTCTCACAGCTCAGCCCATGTGCAGAGTTCAAAAGTACTAGAACTGAAATACCTGGAAAAGAGTTCCTGCAAAGTATCAGGAATCTCAAGTTTGGGATTCCCCAGGGTTGAACTGAATTTTTCTTTCAGTCTTTCCACAAACTCTTTAAACTCCTTTGCACAAACCTTAGAAAAGAAGAGAGAGAAATGTTATCAACCTCAATTTCTTAGAGTGGGAAAAGGCCCTTAACTTATAAAGCATTCATGGAGAATTCTTAGCAATAGCTGGTTTTGAATTATCAAGTCTGGAACACTACAACAGACAGGAGAATGCATCAAAAACACTCTGTGGAGGTCGTGTTTGCTGATTTACTTAACAGTTGCAGGTTCTGCCTGTAATCACACTCACAGCAACAAGCAACTCACCATGAACATATGTTCTAAAACCAATTACACTGAATTAACAGCATCAGATCTTTTGGCAGAGCTTTGTTTAAGCTTCTGCTTTAGTCTTTTTCCGCTTCATACTCTTCAAGCTTTATCATATTCTCTATTAAGTCTGTACCATCATGGCTTGGAGGACACCTCTTACAAGAGAGGAATGGTCCTGTAGCTGTCTGGAAACAAGTGTTTATTTGCTCCCAAAGATAGACTTTTGGGGATGGGGACACTGGCATTTATTTCAGCAATGTCTCTCCATTGAACAACTGCTCTTCATTTAAACAAACACCAACCTACCAACACAACTGATTGGGGTTTTCTGACAAGAACATGAATTGTCATTCCTGACAAAAGTAAAGCAAATCTTCCCCTGCCATTGTCCCAGTTCTGAAAAAGTTCTGAAATTCAAAATGGATTTGTTTGCACTGAAAGTGTAAACTACTTTTCGCTGGGAAATTGTGGTTGATTTAAGCCATGAAAAGCTCAAAAATTAAATATCTTTCAACTGATCAAGGCTTCTTTGATAAAATTTACTTGTGTACCTGCACTCATCCACAGAAGCCAAGGCAGTGTTTCAAGGTGCAATTGGACTAAAAAAAATTACAGAGCAAAAGTGTTTTCTTCCTCAGATACCAAGGAGGCTGAGAGGATGAAAAACATCAGTGCATACAGATGCTCAGTCGTGGATGTTCAACAACACACACACTGAAAGACCAAAGTTTTTGTTGCACAGCACTGCTATGTGTGTGCCTGTGGAAAGCTGCCTGTGTCCACATTGCTCCCAGAACAGCAAGGATGCTGCATTTTGATGATGATGCTATTTTGAAAATAGCTAAGGGTGCAAGGGAGAGAAGATATGAAATCACAGTGATTTAAACACTGCACGTGCCAGTGCTCAGCGATGCAAACAGCATGAAGTACTCTATGACCTTTTAGAATGTTGCTCTCCTACCTGGGGATCTTCATAATTATCTTCCCTATTCATGAAATCTTCAGTGAGGGCTTTATCTTGGTAAACCTCCGCCAGGCAAACTCTGCAACAGATACGGTTGAAGGGGTTGAACATAGCAGAAATTTTCCCAATTCAATACAGATCTGATAGCACCAGGGTGCAAAAAAAGTGGAAATGTTTAAGTCACAGGAAACAAGACAAAACCATAGGAAGACCATATCCCTTCATTTAATTTTAGGAGAATTTAGGCTCTAACTAGAACATGGAAAGAATCTTTCTTACTTATAGTTAAGATAGGTCTGTGGGTTTCTGACAATATAGCGAGCTCGTCGTCCCACAGAGTGAGATGTTTTGTCCAGGGACTCCTCGAAGCTGGCGTGCATGATATCCCGAACTACTTGCCATGGAACAAAGGGCCCTTTCACCTGTGTGAAAAACAAATGCCCTTGGAGTTAACCTCAGCTTTTACCTACACAAATAATGCTTAGAAGCAGGATGAACTCCCAGGACTGATGAAACGAATGCTCTGTTTCATGGCTCTGTCAGTACCTTTGCGTTGAGCACGTGACTGGCAATTCTGCAGAGCATGAGCAGGCTGTCCTCCTGCACTGTCCAGGTGACACGCAGGCGTGTCATCCTCTGCAGGGCACTCTGGTCAGCTTCGTCATGGTAGCGAAGCCTTTTGCTTTTCTCTGCAGAATCCTCTTCTAACAAACCCAGAAAAACCAGACAGACAGTTATCTCAGCGCCACATGTTCAGTGAGCTCAAACTATCAGCACCGGGCGACTTCGTAAGAATGAAAGATAAAAGCAGGTCAGAAAGCAAAAGGCATTCATCTCTCTTCCAGGAATGAGAAAACAAGCACTTTAGCTGGCAAGCTGACTGCCCCTAGAGCATCATGGCACGAAGAATCTTCAAGCCAGCTGTCAAAAGCTGAGGGTGAGGTGTACAGAGCTGACCTGGCAGACCAGATTTGAATCTCTTTAGTTTGCACAGCACAGCAGTGCAACCCTGACTCACACCCAGGCAGCAGTTCCAGCACTCTGTGCTGCTCCTCCAAAGCTGGTGTGTAGCCCCAGGACATCTGAACCTCTTCCCTGAGAGAGGCAACCCAAAGAGGTGGCCAGGAAGTTTCCATTACTCACACTGTGTATGTTACAGTCACATCAGCTTTTCTAAAGCAACTCGCAGCAGGCTTGTGCATTAAAGACACTGCTGCTTTCTCCTGATGCATTCATCACTGACCTTTCTTTTTCTTCTTGGTCTTCTTGCCAGTGTCTTTCCTCAGCCTCTTCCTCTTCTGGCTTTTCCCACCTCTCACTCGTTTGTTTCGATCCTGGGTTGGTTCTTTACTTATTTCAATACATTCCTCTTTCTGGACAAGTGGCACGGATCCTGCCTTTGCTTCTCCCAAAATATTAATTTTGTTGCCTAAAATGACACATATTTACAGTAGTAGAGCTCTGTAGTAATTACAGTCTACAATACTGAGGGATAAAGAGCAAATGCCAAGGTTTCAGTACACTGAAAGGCAGATGCCCTTTCAGACTTGCCCCATGTCATTTCATGCCACTTCCTCAGCAGCTCACGGAATAAAATCCCACATAAAGGAGAAATTGTCAAGTAATTACTATGTCTAGAGTACAGTGCAGAAACACAAGGGACCTGAGATGAGGTGTGACGTTCAACCTGAGGCATTTCCTCCTCACCACCTCAAGTGTGAGGCTGTGCAATTTTAGCAGTGCCCAGCCACACAAAACATTGGTCCCTCTGGACCTTCTGCAAACTGCATGCCAGAAATTACAACGGATAAAAATGATGGTTCTATAGAAAATTATTTACGTATCTGTTTTACTGCCCCAGAAGCATCCTAGATCACTGCAAGGAGACAGTAACTACCTAGGTCATCAACACTAGATAAAAAAGCTATTGTTCCATATAACCACAAATAGGGAAGGACATGATTTATCTCTTTTACTGCCCCAGAAGCATCCTAGATTACTGTAAGGAGACAGGAATAACCCACATCCTCCACACTGGGTTTGACAAAGACAGTAACAGCTGTAATACAGTTACAGACACCCCCCCAGAGCATCACCACCTTACCTCCAGTACTGAGTGGCAGGGGGTGTTTGGTTAAGAAGGTTTGGAGTCTCATTGTCAGTCCATTTTCAGAAGCTGTACTTTCCTAAGACAACACAGCTTTAAAAAAGGTGATATGCAAAAGGAGTGCACTGGTTTTAACATCATTAGGCATGATATCCTTTGAGAAGTGTCAGAAATACATTTCCAGTAACAAGGAAAAGATCCCTAGGCACAATGGAGAATTCATTTGTCTTACTACCAAATATCTAGAGCTTTTTTAAAATCTTCTGTGACAGTACCTGTTCAATGCTTGGTAATGGTCAAAAAGCAAAGCAAATGTGAGGAATTCTTAGGAAAAGGGAACAATACTATGCAACTATAAAAATCCATGGCTGCCCACAGCCTGAATGCACTATGTGATTCTTTTTTCACCCTAAAAAGGACATAGTAGAACTAGAACAGTTGAAAAGAAAGGGAACAAGAATGATCAAAAGCAGAACAGGCTCCATGGTGGGATGAGTTAAGTAATCTAGTAGATCCCAGTCTTTAAAGACAGTGATAATGAGAAACATGAGAGGTGTTTACAAGTCAAGTGAAACAGGAAGGGTAACAGAGGATTTTTTAGAGCTTCCCATAGTACTGCAGTTAATAGAAAGCTTAAACCATCAAAAGGAATTGGTGCCAAGGAATAAGACTTTGAAACATGTTGCTACATGTTTTTATGGATACTGAAGCTCTATGTGTGTCAAAAAAACAATTAGACCAACTAATGCTACAAGAAGAATCTGTTGGCAGCTTTGAAACATCATCCTCAAGTTTAGAATGTCCTTCAGCCTAACTTGTGAACAGCTGGGAGAATATTCTGAGGAAATGTCACTATACATCTACCTGGATCTTCCAACCTCCCCTACAAATCTCTTACTGGCAACCCCCAGCGACAGGACATGAGCCAGAACTGGCATGGCCATTCTTATTTGCTGATGTTGGGCTTCCTAGGAATTTTTGGAGTTTTTTTTTTTGTTTTTGTTTTTTTGTATTTCCTTGTTCTGGATGTTTCAGTTTTCATCTGACAACTTCTACATTTCAGAAAGGCAAGAGGCAACACTAACTCATCTAAATTGCTTGCTTAGTAGAGTATGTCTCCTTTGGTTCAGTGCATTATCAAATTCAGTTCAGGTAAAATTTATGTTCATTTCTTCCATTCTCTTCAGCACTGAGATTTACCACATTTGGCATGAACTTCTTCCCAGTGATGCAGAGCCTTTCTGGGATGCATGACTGAGAAAGCATGCAAGCAGTAACATCTTGCTATCAGTATCTCCACCTTAAGAATATTAAAATTTGGAAAAGTCATTACAGTATGGAAATGTTTAAATACCCACCTTCCTAGTCTGATTGATGATGTAGCTTGTCCAGATCCAATTGCGTTTCAGATGCCCATAAAAGCTGGAATCCAGACCTGCAGCTCCTAACCCATCTCCAGGGATCGTTCCATCATCAACCACCTCTCGGCTGCCTCTAGCAGGAAGAGTAACACAATATACAGCAGTTATTTTGTAGGCAGTACCTGCTCCTAAGTGATGTGTGGGCAATGTGCAGAACTCTCCCCTTGCCCTCCCAGTTTAGGTAGGGCTGGGAAAGAGGAGAACAAGAAATGCTCCTTCCCTTAACCTGTTCCTGAAGCAGCATGACAACCATGCTTTTCCTTTAAGTTTTAATCCCTGATATTTAATGACTGAGCTTTCAGTTTCAAGATAACAATAATGAAGTTGCTCCAGGTGTAAGCTAAGCTCCAGTGGGCACATAAACTCTGTTCTCAGCACTACTCCTGCCACAGAACTAGAGAAAATACCTGCTCAGATGAAAAACTTTCTCAGGACAAGCATGGGGAAAATCTTCCATGCAACTACAGGCAATCACCCTGCATTTTGCATGCTGTCAAGCACTGGTCTCTCCAGTTTTCTGACAAATACATTAAACCTTGTTTAAATACACAGACATGCTAACAACCAATGCACTGCAATCTCTCCCTGGAAAGATGGTGACACCAACAATGACTAGCATGGAATGATGAACTGGTACCCTTCCCAAACAAGCTAGTTCATTATTAGTGTGGTGTTACAGTGCAGAAGGAAAAAAAGGGGTTTTTCTTCTTTATAAATACAACACTTTGCAAGAAATCAGAGAAAAACTGACTTCCTGAAAAAAAAATGAAAAGGAAAACGTCACTGTGAATGAGCTTTGCATTTGCAGTAGGTACAACAGCTCTGACAATCCAGTAATAACACCAGGAGTATTCTAAAATCCTCTTTTGCCTTCTGAAAGATTTTTCTGAAAGCTACCATGAAAAAATTAATTTCAGTCAAGCTTTCAATATACAACACTTTTGTTATAACAATATGCCATCAGTTATATCCAGAAACTGCTTCTTGACCTTAAAGACGTTGCAGTCATCTCCAGCCTAACAGCAAGTCAATACCAGATAACCAGCTTAAAACCTCACCATACAATGGAGACCAGATGTGAAAGCTGCCACGTGGACTGAACAGACTTTATTTCTATCAGCAAAGATTAGTGGAATTAGGTTCTCTCACCACCATTAATTTTTTTAAGATAACTTGATGGAGCTGCCCATGACACTTTTAAACAAGAATATTGACCAGACTAAACCCCTGAGCCTAACTGGTGTTCCACATGGCTGGCACAGGCTGTGAGTACAACAGTGCCCTCGAGTATTCTGGTTGTGATTAGGCAGAAGATGAAGTGCTCCAGGGATCTCTTCCAGATTTCAGTGTACACCAACACCAAATTAGAAATGAGTCTGTGAACAATACACAGCAAATTGCAACAGAAGGGCAGATTTCAGAATGTGACCCTGGGGACCTACTGAAGCTCTAGTGATAGAAAGCACAGGGACAGAGAATCTTTTCTTTCTTGCAGTGCCTGTACTTAGGAAGCAAAACTTCCCTCTCCACTTTGCTTTCCGTAAGCCTCCTGGAACATGTCTGTACAGCTTTGGAAAGAAATCTAAATCTTCTTCCCACTCCTCTAGCACGAAAACCTGCTTGGTAGACAGGTTACTTGCAAACATGATACATAACTACACATCTTTTTAATCAAGTTCCCTCTGAATTCCCTAAAAACCCCACCCCACAATACCCAACTGAAATGCTAGAGCCTTAACTGCCTTTGTTACTGTAAAACATCTTCAAAACCAGGACTTTTTTTGCACACTCTATTCAAATCAACAAACCAAAGCTGCAGGTGACATACGTGGTGTACTCCAACATGGCACACTTTCGTTCCAGATTGTGTTTATGTGCTGCTGACTCTTGTTCCATTTCTGCATCTAGTGCAGCCTCCTCTCCTTGAAGGTTGCTCCTCTTTGAGCGAGGACAGCGGACACCTCCTGGACATACAAATGGTTTTGATTATCAGTGTGAGCACTAAGGCATCAGCCCATTTTCAATCCACCCTGCTGTGCCTAACTACTGCTCCCAAAGAGTATTAACCTACCCACTTCTCAATAACACTGGCTACATTACTACAGAGGCTAATGGTGCTCCAGTTAATTTCCAGTACAAGGCACTAACTTGTCCAAAACTATTCAGGGCAGAAGCAATGAGAAGTACTCTTTATAAGGGGAAAAAAAAAAAAATGCAGTCGTTGACTGATATTCTAGGCATGGATCACAGCCTTTCAGTACTCAGATGTGTCAAAAATCCTCAAGAAATGATGCAGCAGGTGCTGGCTGCTAAAACCCCGTGTGAACGTTTTGCATGTCCAACTTCATTGTGTTGGAGATACATTTAGGATAGAGCTGAGGAGCTGTGTGATAGTTTTATTGTAACAGAACTCAAAGGTAGGAGGGAAAAACCCAATTTCTGGCTTACTGCTGCTTTTTGGATGCCTATATGACAAAGACAATAGGGCAGGACTAGATCTCAGGCAGGTCTGAGAGATGTAGAGGCTCAATATCAATTTAAATCCAGCACAGAAGAATTTTCCCCTTTAGATGGAAAATACTTAAGTGGAACACAATAAAGCTTCCAAAAGCATGCAAACTAGTCAAACAATATCATTCCCTTATTTTTGGGGCTAGAAGTAAACATGGTCTGACTAATCTGCAAAAGCTGCCCCAGTGAACCACGTTCCCATTTGACAAGTATGTAAGGAGCTTTTTGCACATAACTGCTTCAACACAAAAAACAAGACAAAATTACACATAGATCCTTTTACCTGCCTGGCTAAATTACAGACATACAGAATACTGTTGTCTAGGGTTTCAGGAGAAGAATCTTCCCTCCAACTTTCTTATCATTTTGTAACATTTAAAATTATGTATACTGGTAGCTATATATCCTATTTAAAAATGTAAAGAGACCAAATATAAAAATAAACTCAAACAACCTGGGGTGCATAAACTCCTTTACCAGGCACTTCTCAACTAACTTGGGCTATCTATTAGAAGGTTTAGGAACATCCTTCTATGGAAAAGGGATTGCTGCTTAAACCTGTAGAGAACTACAGTGAAAATACACCAGTAACTAAACTCAAAAAGGCTTTTTCACAACTGGATTAAAATTTAACAGGGCTATTATCAAATTTGATACTTTAACAGGACAGCAATGTTTTTCAGAACACTGTCCTGAAGATTTATAGTTTTATAGTTTTATTCTTCTTGGATCTCAACTTCACAGAATTATATGGACAGAACTTGGAGCTTTTTTTGATGCACCAGCCAAGAGAACAAGACATTGGAAGTGACAAAACAGCCTGCCTCAAGTTTTCAGAAAGGAGGAGGACTGTGGTATAAACAGAATAATGAAGGTAGTAGGAATGCACAAGGATCCATACCCAGTGGTGTATTGAGGCAGACACACTGCAGATCAAACCAGAAGTTCTCCACGTCCTGCATGCTGCTCAGAACGTACAAGCGTCTCTCAAAGGGGCGGCTGCTTTGGGCCAGGTTGTAGTGGGGGTCACAGATAGTGGTGTCAACAATCACAGCGTTTCTCTTCATGTACACAAAGACCTGTCAAATACAGCGTGTTTCAGCCTGGTAGGTAAAGAGTTGAAATTCATCTACAGGATACAAAACCTCATTTTAGGAGTGTTCAGTGTTTCCACGGTCTTCACTATTTTGAGCCAGTACTCTGCTAGAGGATACACCCATCCCCACCCCGTTGCATCCTATTCCCAAACTTCCTTTGCCAGCTCAAACTGTGTTTCTAGATTTGGAACAGTTTTTCCCCCTTTGTGCACAGGATATTCCACATTTCCAAGCAGAGCGACTGCTTCCTACGAGCTCTCATTCAGGATTTGAATAGATGTGTCTGGGGCCTAATTATCTCTCTTATCCCCACAAAACATATGTTGGGACTGCCTTCTTGGCATGTGTTCTCTGCTTATAAAAAGACGTGTACAAATGTCTTTAGTTTACTCTGATCAGTCTTCATTCTGTGTCAGAATGAACACGCCTTGATGGAGCAGAACGTGGCATGCTCATTTGTCATGAAGTGCTGCCAGCATGGAACCTCCCGGATCATTATTAGTGTGTGCAAAGTTCAGCCTTACACATTTCAGTAGTGTCTTTCCAAAGAAAGAGGCAAAAATTATCTGCACAGCTTGCAGTATGTCTCTTGGATCTGGAGGTCTGCACATATATCTGAAACAGCAGCATTTTACTGAACTCCTTCAGGTAATTACAAACCTCAAATCTTGCATTTGTTTCACTGGACAAATAACAGGAAGGATAATGGCTAAATTTTTTTTAAAAAAACTAATTACCTGGTCTTTGTCTTGAAACTTCTCTGTTGGGCCAAACTGTATCAGTCCCATATAACACAATCTTTGAAGGTTTTCTACCACCGAAAAGATGTACCTCCTGCAGCAATATTAGGAAATTATGATTAGCACTCAGGAGCAGAGTGACAATGACACCAGGAAACATGCCACCTCCACACAGCAACCTTAAGTCTCAGGAAATACCTTTGAAATACCAAGTTTGAGAATTTCTGAAGTGCCATTTGGCTTGAGTTGTCAGCCTATGGAATATATATAGTAATCCAAAGCTCCAAGTTTCCTTTCCTCATATCATAAACACAATATTTTAGCCAAATACTAAAATTTGTTAGCAAAGAACAAAGTTAGCCAGAAATATCATATGTATAAATGAATCAAACAAGGTCAGAACACCAGCAGATCTGCAGGTAATTTTGTGTTGGGCAAAGAAGACACGAGTAAGAAAACACAAGTGCTAAATATGGGCTGAAAAACCTTCACATGTGCACACAGAGAGAACTGGGCACTGATCCTTGCAGTTAAGGTTGTTTAGAATTACTGTTCCAAGAAACTGCTTTCACTTGCTTGTAGCTTTGGCAGAGCAAAATGTGCAATATTTCCCATGCTGTATATCTACTTATATAGCAAAATTCTGGAAAATTCATGAAACTTTTGCAAAATCTAGTTTCTGAGAGAGAGATTTGTTCAAAATTCAGCTTTGCCTACATCTAACTCACTAAGATCTGTGCAGTTAAACCAGAATTGTATTTTGGCAGGAGTTTTCTTGGGGGCTCAAAAAGATCATTTGGCAAGCCTAGAAATACTGAAGCAAATTTGGCTGCCACTGGGAGCATGAGTAGAAAGAGAATGGTATCTATGAGAGGCAAGAACTGTGAACTGTGGCACCCTCTGAAAGATTTATGAAGGACAGCAACGTTTAGACTCTACTAAATTCTGAATTTAGCAGCAGTCAGGAGTGTGTTTTATACAGAAGTAACATCGTGCTGATGAGTTATGAAGGACAGAACCTCCCAGCTCTCAAACACTGCCTGACAGCATACATGAATATTGTTTATTAGTTTCTTATTACCTTTTATTTGGGAGAGAAAAATACAATTTGGCACACTATCCTCAGAAGATTTATGATCCTTGTCCTAAGTAACAAAGTTCTCTTTGACACAAAGAGGAAATAACTGAGAAAACCACTGTTGTTTCCTCCCTAGAGCCATTTGCTTTGACTCATCTGCTTACCTTTTGTAGAGAAGCTGCTGTCGGACTGACCTTGGAAGAAATCTGATCAGAGTGTGCTTTTTTAGTGGATCATTTAAAAAATCATCTAGGCCATCCACCTAGAATTATTTTAGAAGTCAATCAAAACATGAAATATAACTATCCTTTAAAGCATCAAGCTTTGCTACTGGAACAGTCTACTGAAATTTTTTTAAGCAAACATTACTGCTTTTGTAAAGTCCTTCAACATTATTCTTGTTAAACAAGGAGGCAGAAGAGTCAGTGAGATTATAAAAACCTCTTTACAAAATAACTAACTTAAGAATTTGCTGTAGTACAGGCCTATACATTTTTTTCCAGCATGGCTGTAAAAGCAACTAACTTTTCTGTAAAAGAAACTCTGAAGAACTAAAGTGCCTACTCTGTGACAGCTAGTTTTATTAAAAGAGACTAAGAGGATATTTGTTACTGCTCAGAGGCACAATTGGTATTATCAGACTTTAAAGCAAAGGTAAATAAAAAAAAAAGCACTATACCTTGTAGCTGACTTGTACTATCTGAACAAAGACTGAGAGGGGCAGGCAGAGGAGAATGTCACTGACAAGAGCCCATCCGAATCCAAACTCTCTGTGAACGGGCAGGGGGGGCACATAACGCATCCACGAGGCATCCTCCACGTACACTAGGGACAAGCAGACTGGCTGAGCTTCAGGCAGGACAAACCTTGGAGGTATGGTTTTACTGGGAGTATTCAAGCAGAACACATTTGGCAGTTTATAGTCTGGAAAGCTGAAAATCTTAAATGATCTGAAAATTAGCTAAAGCCGTTTGTTTTTGGTCTGTTTTGAAGTGGACTTTTACAGGGTTTTTTCCAGTGGTGGTGAGGACTCTTGAAAAACACATTAAGCCTACTCACAATAAGTCTGCCCTTCTTTGCTTACACCGAGGATGCCTGAAAGCAATAGAGTCAATTCCCATATTCTGAAGGATGAAGAGAGCACTCATAAGACTATTTTTCTCTAAGATAACCTGTTCCAAGACTTAACTATCCTTACAGCACATTATAGAAAAGTATCTTCTGAACACCCAATCCAATAATTGCTTTTTCTATACCAAATAGCACAGAGAACAGTCTGTCAACTACCTCTAACATTGTTTTTCACTTTACAAGACAGGTATCCTGTTCTCCTTACTGCAATTTTTTTTTTTTTGTAAAAGAAACAGAAGGTGGCAACATCTCCAAGGTTAGTTTAAGCAGTAATTATGTAACCATGGCTTCAGTGTGTCCCAACTAAAATGAAATCTAAACCATTTCTCCAAATTTACTCAAGATGACTCTGAATTCAAACCCAGCTCTCCAAATTCCTAGCAAACTTTCCAGCTTTTGTCCATCCATGATTTGAGCCTACTGTATTTCACTCTCCAGAACAACACCCCTGTATGATATTTGGGAACAAGTCACTAAGAACATAAGCTTTTTTTTTCCCCAAGCATTTGCTTTCCTACTTTTAAACATTTTCATTGAAATCGTCTTGTCAAACAGTTGTGGAAACACTACACTGAATCATGGCAAAGTCAGGGTGTGCCATTCCTCACCTGTTTGATTAGACAACTCCACTTCAGTCTCCAGCACAGTGATTTCAGGATTCACCCCAGAGGAGGCAATTTCCACAGCCCCATCTGGTTGTGCTTCAAGTACAGCTGCCTTCACATCCAGCCCTTGTTTGCTGCCTTTCTTCTCACCATCACTACCTCCTTTTTGCTGTGTTCCATTTAGAGGGTGCCCATAAATTAAGTACCAGAGGAACATGTGGACCATTCTTAAACGTGGCATTTTGGGAAGAAAGCCAAGAGAACGCCCAAGTCCCGGCACTGGGAGGGAAGATTAAACACCAAACAGAAATAAAAAGAGGATTAAAACAGAAGAAATAGCTATCTCTGCAAAACTGGTGTGCAGAAAACTGTAAGGAAAGTAAATGAAAGTTACAAATACTCAGTTACAAAGAGTAAAGAAGTAGGAATGCAAATACTCCAGTTTACAATTGAAACCCCAATAAGCAGCTAAGAAAACACTGGCGAGTGAGATAGCTTCATGCAAACCACATTTTTCTTCTATAAAAGAAGAAAAAAACCCCAGTTGTATCTTAGTAGAGCCCAACATCTGAAAGTGATTATTAAGAAATGGAAAAGTGACAGATGGCAGGAAAAGAGAGTCAGCTGTACCTGTAACAGGGTGATAGTTTCTTAGCTGTGTTATGCCCATTTTTTCATCGCATTTTCTTGCCCTATTGTTATCAGCTTTACTGGAACTTTCTTGCATTTCTCCTGAGTCAGGAGCTGTGTCTTGCCCCAGGCTTTCCTCCTCAGCGTGGTCCTGGGACGTTGGTGTCTGGGGAACTTTAATCCTGTGTTAAAACCACACAGCACTTTGGTAAAAATTAAGCTGAGATCAATCCCTCTTCTTTCCCGACTCCAGGAGATAACCAGCATCTTGCCCCATCTTTGTGCTTCCATTTCTCTGTTGCTAAAGGCAAGATTTTTCTTTTCTTTTGCTTACTTTATTTCCTCTGCATGTTTTCTCAGGTAGTAGATAAGGCAAGTTCTCCCCAAGCCCCCAGAGCATCAGTGCAACTCGCCTGTTTGCCGTGCTGGAGTTGGAGATTCGGAAACGCACTTGCTCAATGGCACTTTTTACCAGGGGGTCACTGGGACTCACTGAGGGATGCACAACAAACTCCACCTGTTCAGGGCAGCAGAAAACACACAAAAGGCATTTATGGAGAAACTGGATCTTCACCAGCTGCATAAGTGATCGGGGATTAACAGATAATTAATTAACAATAGCCACAATGGAGGAATCCTATGAAGGTTTAATAACTGACAGAATATTAACACTTATGGATCAAAACTCCTGTTGCTCGTTTCTCTAAGCAAGAGGCCAGATCATATGGTCTCTAGACCAATAAACAGTTAATGCCATTTCCACAAACCTCAGGTTTTTGATTTTTAAAATCTGAACTTTGTGGAATAAACTCTTGAACTTGGCAATATGAGGCTGGAAGGGATGAATGACAAGCCACACCTCATAAGGCCAAAGCAAGACATTGTTGCTGAAAGTTCTGACAATTCAGATCAGGGAGATTTCACATGTGCTTTACAGTAACTGTGCACAGGTTAATTTTCAAGATTATCTCCCTGCTTATGAACATTTCACACTAGAGTTACAATGGTAAGTCTCAGCTTGACAACTAGAGACGTTTTAATTCCATAAACCTCAATAACAGTGGATTTTTGTTTTAAAAAAGATAGATCCCATTCTAAAACTTTCAATGCCAGAGCTAACTTATGATTTCTCATCTACTAGCTTTCAAAAGGGGATTAAATAGAATTGTATGGCAGCCTGGCAGCGCAGGGAGAAAACCATGAATTGTGTAACTGATAAGCAGCAGAACCTCTCAGAATGGAGATTCAGAGACTTTGATCTCTGGACTAGTCTTTGGTCTCACAATTATCTGTAGCACAATAACTGAAAGCACTAATCTAGTTTTCACAGTAGCTTAGTTTAGGACACGTAGCTTCTGGGCAGCTCAGCTGTGGGTTCTGCTACAAAAAGCAAAGTCATCCCTATATTTCAGCCTCGAAACGTTTTGATAAATCAGAAGGGTTGTGAGAAAAGCTGCTCCAGGGTTTGTGCAGTCACCTTTTTACTGATGCCATCCTGGATGACTGTAGTACGATAGAGCCTGAGGAGCCCTTCCTGTGCAAGCCTCTGCACCAGTCGCACGATCGACTTCTTGCAGCATTTAGTGGAGACACCTTCTTGCTTCTCTTGATCCATGACCATTTTCTGAAGCCTAAAAGATGCAAAAAATACCTTGCATTTCGGGTAGTTTGGAGCATTGCTGGCCTTAAGCACTTTGTTAGAGGGTGTGGGGTGAATGGGTATTTCCCTGCTTCTAGCAATTCCTGCTCACTTTTCCCTTTTGCTGTAGATAACTGGTAACCTGAAACTTCAGCTGTATTTTCTTTGTAACCACACTTTGTCCTTTTCACATGAAGACTCCTGGTCTGATGACAGCAAAGTGTCCATGTCAGACTTCTGTGTGTATGGCTAGAGTGCAGTTATGAATCCAGCCTCCCTGTGGTCAGGAAAACCTAGAGCTTTTTGAGGTGGTGATTAAACACATGCAGTTTATGCACGTGTGAGCTCAGCCGGGACAGAGTTTACTCAGTGGCATTCAGAGCTGAGAAACTACAGATGCATTCACAAGACAGACACACACATCCCTCCACTTGTGGCCAGCTCCCTTCTTCCCCTGCAGCAGCCTGCAGGAGCACGTTTACACCTCCTCCCCTAATGCCCCTTTCCATGCAATGTTTCACAAGAGCCCCAGGCCCCACTCCTGGCTCTTTCAATCCTGGAGAGTTAATTCTGAACAAGACATGGAAGGGTATTAAGGCAATAAGTGGATGTACACATGGACTTCAATCTTTCCAAAAGACTAGCACATCCTGGTAACTAACAAAATTGGACTGACAACACCAGGAAATTTCCTTGGCAGAGACTGGGGAGGGGCAGAACTTCCCCTGGTGCTGAGGGAACCTGCAAGTTATCTGTTGGCAGCACTGAAGGGGGTACCAAAGACCTGAAATATCTTCTGAGCCTCCACTTGGATATGACTAGATGCATCAGTGATCAGGCTGGTGCCAGAAGATCAGGCTTTAATTTTACAACACTCTGCAACTGAACTATGTGACAAAGTTTCCAACTTCTCAAACCAGGCTAGAACAAGGCCATGATTTCTTTCTGAACTTCAATAGCAGGCGGCCCTGAGTGTATTGACAGGCCAGGATCTTATGTGCTGACACAGAGGATGGGGGGGTGCAATCCTGTTTGTGACAACAAAGTTCTGCCAGTTAGGAAGCTGGGACTCCAGGATAGCACCAGAATTTCCATTACTCTTTGGAGGTGAGTCTTACAAGGCTGAAAAACATCATAAAAATCAGGAAAGCATCTCCAGTCCAGACAAGGCAAGTTAGGAGAGAACACAAAACCACACCACATAAACTGCAAAGCAAACTTTCAAGACCTTGCCTGAGATCCTAGTGGCCAGTGATGACTCACACGAAGAAATGAGTTTCTGTGGTGCATGACAGAATAAAATATGAACAATTTTTGAAACCACATGGAAGTAAAACTTATGCAGATGGCAGAACCCACGAGCAGGGAAGTGCTGGATCTTACTGTGTGGCCCCGAGCACTGGCATACTGAACAGAGAAAAAACTTCTCTGATCTCTATTTATGGGACATACACTGCATAAAAATTCCCTGGGGTAATTAACTGCAGAGAACTATCATTGCTTCCAAGCAGCTGATTAATTTTTAAGACTCAATATAACTGTGCGCCATTCTCTCCAACTGGAGAGCACACAGTGCTGCCAGGGACAAGGAAAGGCAGCGATGGAAGCAGCATGCAGCTTGCTGGCTAAAGCTTTAGCTCAAGCAGGCTAAAGCTGCTGCTGCCAGAAGGTGTGCCAGCCCAGCAGCCCGTGCTGGGTGGACTCACGTGAACAAGCTCTCGATGAGCCGCAGGTTGCGAACCGCTTCCACGATGAGGTTCCGGCGCTTCAGCAGCCTGTAGGTCTCGTGAGACCTCTCCACTGCTGCAGCTTTGCAACGCTTCTCCTTCTTCTGGCCACACGTCTTCTAGGGCACAGCATGGACAACACAGAAATTTTACATTAACTATTCAGTCTTCAGCCTAATGTTTGTCCCTCACACGGCGGCGTCTGAGAGATTCAGAGTTTTGATGTATTTATTTGTAAGAAACTAGTCGCATGGGGATTATCTTTTATCTCCCCTTCACAGGCAGGGAACCAAGGCAGAAACCTAAGATTTCCATGCAGTTTGATGCACTTTCTCTGCCAATTCCACATTCTAAGCCATTTGACTTGAGAGTTTTGGCCTAGAAAGCTGGTAACTGCCTTAACATCGAGCTGAGTCCAAGCCAGCATATCTTGTCTCTCTGAAAGGCATCTTGCCCCAGGCACAATCCTGCAGCAGTGAGGCTACACAACTTTCCTGTCAACACCCATTTATTCCTCCTGGTTTAGAGCAGACAGAGCAGATGATGTGCAGCACTCATGTGCTCAGACAGGCAGTAAGTGATGACATGCATTAAGTCAACCCAGGGGATTTGGAGAGCGCCAGTGAACCAACCCAGAACTGTATTTTGGAAGTCTACCTTCCTATCTCCTGGAAAAAGTTTCACTTAACTACGATGCAGCCAAAATATGAATGCACTTTGAAATTAAATTTAAAACCCAAAGCAATCCCATGAATGACTAATAAACCTGTAGCTTGAAGTCTTGCTGTAAAAGTACATCACTTAGCTCAGACAGATGTTCCAAGAACAAAGTATTAAGATGTTATTTTACCTTAGGGTCTTCAGGCCTGACCTCCTCCACCACAGCCACATCTGCATCTTCATCAGTGGCATGAGCACAGGTAGGAAGGTTGGGCTCCTGCTTTAGAGTTTCCAAAGTAGAACTCTCCCCTGAAAGGTTATCTTGAGGTTCATCTGTCTCTTCAAGAATTTGAGGAGAAGGCAGCTTCTTCCCCTGAGACTTCACAGACGCTGGCTTTGAGCCTGGTTTAACAGCAAACAGCCTTGTCATTGTTCTGCTTTCAGTTTCCTGTAAATGTTCAGCTTCTCTCTCTCTCCAAGGCATTCCCCCACACACTCAGGTAACTGTACTTACAAGCATTCTGCTAGATTTTTGACATATCCTTCTACCCTGCTGGAAGTAGTCGTTTGATCATGAACAACTGCATTCACCCTCCAAAAGTAAGGTTAAAAAAAAGTGAATTCTCTGGCATCAAATAACTCTCTCCATGCAGAAGCCTCTTTGTAGGCAGATTTAGAAGATCATGAAGGGCCAGATTAGCTTATCCAGAAACTGCTGACTGAAGAAAGGAGAGTTTGTCAAAGATTCTCAAGTTCTGCCAGAAATCTGATTTCTCTGACTCACAGCAGAAGAAGAACAAGGATTTAGTATTACTCCAAAGATATTCTACATAAGAAATGGAATTCTGTTCTCTGTTCCTGTGGAGTGCATCACAGAAGTTGTAGGAACATTCAAATAGTTAAAACAAATAAAATTATTAAATAAAATAAAAAATAAGCCACCATAGCCTCCTTAAAACACAACTCTAAGGCTCAATATTAGACATTTCCAATGAAAAACCCCACTGCTAAAAGGGGAAGAATATTCATGTTACAGTTAAAAAAAGCAGTGAACTGGCTGGTCTATCCACTCCTGTGCTATTTCCCACACCTAAGGTGACATTTGTATATCTGATGGCATGAAGTGATGCTTTTCAGTGAGGCACAGGCCACTTTTTCCCTTGCTGAGGAAGGAAAATTATTTCAAGATATACACAGTGCGTTCAGATCCCTCTTGAAGAAGTCTTCAAGGACTTCAGAGCTTTACCAAGACTGTGCTCTGATGGGCACGGCCTGAGCAGTAAGATATGCTGAAAAAGAGAGTCCTTTACAAATACTTTGTCAATTCATCACAGAACTTTCACAGGAGAGGAAAAATTTACCCAAGGACAAAATTTACCCATGGACTGCCCACTATGCTTGGTTTTAGCCACACAGTCCTGTCTCCTTCCTTCAGGACTCCTCCTTCCAAACTCCTCCATCAATTTTGGAATTTGTTTGATCTCTGCAGGATCATTTCAGCCCTTCAAGCCACCCTGAATATCCAGGGGCACGGTGTGTGAGCCCATTTCATTTGCAGGGGGAAAAGGGGAGCAATGGCACAGGGGGAAGGAGAAGCAGACATTCCCAGTGGCTGGTGATAGTCAGAAATGTTGTTTGGTGCACACAAATGTCAGAGATTACCACACCTACAGTATTCCAAAACATAAAACTTTTGGAGGAAAGAGAATATATATAAAAAAAGCATAGAAATAGTCAAATAAGTGTAAAAGTAACTGTATGATCAAAAGCCAAGTGAAGCTAATAGTGTTGTGGTTTTGTTTTTTTTTTTCCTTTACTAAAAGGATCCCTAAGAAAATGCAAGGTCCTCTCCAAATTTTTGAATCATGATTTACCTTTAGCTGGTGTTGACTGATGGGGATCATCTTGGAAACTTAATTTCAACAGAGAACCAGAGTTGGCCTTCTGGCTTTTTCGTCTCTTCTTGCCATCTTTCCCTTCTTCCTCATTGTCAGACTCGGAGACCAAAGTATCATCATCTCCAGGAGATGCATCTTCCACAGCAGGGGTATCTTCTGGCACCAGAGCCAAAGTGACTGTAGCCAACTGCTCACTTCTAGCCTTCTCTCTCTCAAACTGACGGTTTAAATCACTCTCCTCTGCTAAAATATACGAAACATACTTGGTTGTCCTTTGCCGACCTTCATCCTCCATAAACCCCTAGAGGAAACAGTTGAAACACGACTTTAGCCCCTTCCTGCTCCATTCTTGCAGTCTGATCTCCAGCATCAACAGTGGGAAAGTTTTCTGTTTTCCCCTCATACCAAGAGATGGGATGTTACGTTCCTTCTTTCTAAATAGCAAAGTTGTTGACTAACCTCAACACATACAAATGGAAAGAAATACCATGCTTGAAAAGTAAATAAATCTGCATTCCCTGAGCACTAGAATGAAACGCCCACAGTATGGGGGATGTAGAAAAGACTAAGGAAGAACAAGCAACACGTATTCCAACTGGAAAGCAGTTTTTCTCAGAAAAAAGATTCTGTGAAACAACTGCCATGCAGAAGTTACCAGAGTGAATCAGACTGAAGTGGAACTGCTGCTGCCCTGCCTACAGGTGCTCTCAAGTGTCTAGAAACTCAAACACTTAACCTAGGACTAAGGGAAGATTTCAGCTTCACAGCTGGCTTGGGAAGAAATACGTTTAGATATTCTATGGTTTATATTTGGGTTTAATTCTACAGAAGCTTTTACCAAGTGACAAGATCTCACTGAAAAAAATTCTCTGCTGAGGGAAAATGGCAATCATCCTGCCTTTGTGAAAAGGGGCAGGTGGGTGCATGCATGAAATGACAGCTGGATTTGCTCATCTTGTTGAAATGAAGAAAATATTGAAATATCTGGAAACAGGGAGTTTAATCACCCTAAGATCTACAAAAGTTACTTTTTTCCAGAATTTCCTAGTATTTTCAAAAAGAAAGACTAATGATTTTAAACATACTACCACAGTAACCACAACTGTGTCTCTAGTTTCAGTAAGAACTAAATCATTTGAACCTTACCTTGACAACTTTGTACCTCTCCAGAAGCCGACAGAGCATCCTTGCCTCTAGCTTCCCCACATTCATGGCCAAGCGAATCTCTGCCTGAGAAATACCTTTGGTTCCCCTGCTCTCAACTGTTTCAGAAAGGAATACCAGAAAACATCTCAGGGAAATCATCTGAATGAATTGTATCTACATATATTTGTGTATAGGTTCATATTTGCTCTGAATGACTGTGTATGCCAGAATATAACATTTAACACTCCCCACTAACAACTAAAGCTGTTTCCACAGACATATACAATATACAGCCAAATAAAGTCATAAAACAGTTTCAGAGGAAGCAGAGTCTCAACAGGATGAGGTCTGAAGGCAACAGCTTCAGATTAAAAGCAGGGGTGACTGTTTCTCCTGACAGCTTTCTGCAGTTCCTAATTAATTTCCCCATTCTGAAAGGAAAGGAGACAGAAGAGGGAACACTGTTTTCCTCTTCACCTTTTCTCATCCCACCACAGCATCCCATTTCTACCAGGCTGCTTTATTTGGGTGGTGCTGAATAGCTGATAAGCTTTCAGAGAGGGCTTATGGGTGGCAGCACCTACAGCTCTTCTAATCTGAGCATGCCGCTCATCTTTCCCATGAAAAATTAACACTTTCCAAGACACAAAAAGCAATCAGAACTTTAAAAAACCCACAATATTTACTTTTATACATTAAAGGAGTAAGAAGACAACGGGAAAAACCTTTAGCATATCTTACTACATCACCTACTTAGCTCATAAGCCTGGGTGAGCATATCCCTCTCACAAACAATATCCACAGGCAGAACAGCTTTTGTGATCATCTCCTCTTCATCATCATCATGGTAATCTTCCATTTTCTTCCGAAATTCCTTCAGTAGTTTGAGGCAACGGACCATGACATCAGTCCCTGTGAGCACAGATGTTAGTGAAAGCTCTTCACAGACTGCAGGGTGTGTGGTTTAAACCATTTCATTGCTTTCAGCAGCATGAAGAAATAGCGGTGGTGCAGTGAGGAGCAAACGACCAAAGACAACTGTTTATATCTGGAAAAGGTTTGTAACAGCTTTCTATCCAAATACTGACTAGGTGAATTTTTGAGGTGCTCCAAACTTTTGCATCTGTGTCAACACCAGGACTGCCCAACACAGTGATTTATGAGCAGGATGGAAAACACTGCAGCAACAGGGGAAATTTCAACAGCATCAATAAATCAGTGAAAGGCTTAAGTGCTGATACACAGTATTACATCTTCAGAACACACACCTGGCTCTGAGATCACTCACAAGTTCTAACACCACTCCTTTTTCCTACAGATTCAAAGCATTTTTCACCTTCTAGAAATGCACATAATGAAAGAAAACTGTACATTGGAAGATACAGAACTTGTACAATGAGCTACCTAGTTGCAAAACTGTTCCTTAACACAGGATTGTCTTTCCTCAGCAAGTGATCAAAGTGGACACCTGTTGGTGGGCCCTGTCAAGGGGCTGTGAGTCCCCAGCATTTAAAAAGTCAAAGACTTCAAAGAACTGTCAGTTTCTCCTGTGTCCTAGGACCTTCTTCTGTATCCCCATGCATGGATGGAATGGAGGATGTTGAGGAGGTTGTTGGAGGAAGCACACACCACACAACTAGCATCCTGGAGAACAGGATCAAACAGAACAGTCCTACCCCACCCAGTGAGCTCTCATAGCATAGCTAAAATGTACAGTGATCTTGCAGAGGTCCCACATCACTTTGAGAAGAGGTTTTTCCTCAGCCTTTGTCTGATGATTCCACAACCCACACCAGTCATACTGTGGAAGCTTTATGAGCAACCATGTACGAGCAGCTCAGTTTCTAGATTTCTTGTCCCTCACTTACTCTAGGGCCTAGGGAGTGGCTAAGTTTGTTACCACACATGGTGTACAAGAATTATAAGCAATGGAGACAAGATCTAAGGCTGTTGTACACAAGAGCAGAACACACTGCTGCTCACCAGCCAGAAGAATCTCATACATGACTGAGTTCTGCATTGTAATGTGTTACTGTGCACTGGCTGTGCTGTAGGAACTCTCCAGCTGCATGTCTGTGAGATCCCAGCAGGGCAGAGTGGGGACAGGTGACTTGAGGAGAGCTGTAGTGATCCTGCTCCCTGATGGAAGGATGACCAACTATCATCAGCATCATCCTTCTGAACAGTTTAAGAGACCAGTGGTGAACTAGAACCAGGTTACTGCACACTGCCAGCTCATTAAATGGCAGTGAGTCAGCAGCTCCTGCAGCAGTAGCCAATTCATCCTGCAGCAGTGGGTGGGAACATCTACAGCCATCTCTACTCATCTGGTGCAGCCCTGCTGTGAGAAGTGCCAGGTGAAAGCTTTACCTCAAAACATGAAGGTTTCAGCTGATGAAGTTTATCTTTTGTACAGATATGATCAGTTACTGAAGCCTGCCTGACGTGAAGTTAATCCACAGTCACTGAACCAGGTGACTGAGCTCCAGGCCAGGTGATTCCCTTGTTTTTCCTCAGCCTAAATCCTTTTCCAGATCCTAAAAAAGCAGTATCCTAAGGTACTGCTTAGGATGGTAATTAAGTGCTGACATTTTGCTAGGGCTGCAGGCACTGTTATCATATCCTCAGTATTTCTACAGCCCATTAATTTTCACTTGAAGCAGTATTTAAAAAAAAATACAACCACCAAACAAAAAAAACCCAAATAAACCAATTTCTTTGACTTTATTTCCTGCTGCCCAGTAATATGCATCCCACAACAGATGCTCTGAAGCAGAGGCCTCATCCTCAGTGTCCCCCAAATATTTCAATCTGCTTTCCTGTAGAACTCCAAAGATTAAACTATCTTGATCTCTGGTGAAAATCAGCTATTATTAATTCCTCCTAGTTTAATAGCTAATGTTTTTCAAGGCATTTTTGTGGATTTTCATCTTTTATGTCTGTAAAATGGAATTACCATTCCAGTGAAAGATTCAGCAGGTGGCATTTTTCATGAAAAACTGAAGTGGTAAATGGAGCTGCCATTGTGCCAATCTGACAAATCAAAACATCTCCAGCCTTGTGGGCTGCCACCAAGTTTATAAATGGACTTTCTCCTGTGTAAAACTCCCTCTGATACTCTAATGGGGAGGAGGTGGACCTGTGTATTTCCTGACAAATGAGCTCACCCAACTCATCCCTTATTCATTCAGTAGAACGTGGGAGACTGCTCTGAACCATGCTAGATGCTGTACCTGCTTTGGGCTGTTGCTCCTCTTTGCTAATAAGGCCATTTCCCTGCAGAGAGATTTCCTTTCCCCTGACTTAAAAGATTTGAAGGAATTTGTTGTCTTATCAAGAGCCTTAATTGAACTCCATGTAACTGGCATTCACTTGTGTCTTTCTGAAGGTCTCACATTTTTACTGGCTCTTTTGATTCAGACTTTATGAACACATACTGTTCAGCTTTCAGAAGTATTTTCTTTTTAACCCTTGCAAATCTGCCTCTCAGGATTTTCTTTGATTAAAGATTTGGTTTACATTTCCTTAAGCAATTGCATTAATTCCATTGGTGGTACTGTCCTTCCTCATACTTTCTATTATTACTTCTTATACTTCTCTCCCCACTCAAGTTTTATCTGCCCATTTTTCTGACAGCAGCTGCTTTCTTTTGTTCCCTTTCTTCATACAGTTCTGCTCTTCTTTGTCTTTCCATGACACGTTTGGAAGTTATCAGCAGTTCTTGCAAACCTATGAAATTTGAATTCAGAGCTGGTTATGGATTAAACTCTCCCTCAGTAGACTATGGCTTTCTTGAATAGTAGCTGTTGGCTATTTAACTTATTTCAGGAACTCCAAGGTGGTGCTGTAGGAGCTTATTTTCAGCATTTGATATGAAAGTTTCCAGAGAAACTCTGCATTCTCATAACTTTCAGCAAAAGCTGTAACTAAGATGGTTGTCTTAGTTTAGTTTGCAATGGTCTTTTCTGGTTTATCTAACTTTTTATATATTTTTGTCAAATTTAGTGACTTGCTGTTCAACCTGAAAGGTCAGCAGGCTGCTCTTTGTCTCCACCCTCTGCAGGGCTTGAGACACTGCTGGGAGTCAAAACCCACTTAAGCAGCTTATGCTGATGTACAATAAACTTGCCTGCATCCATTTCTTAAAAACCTGGAACAAATACTTAATCCACGTGGGCTGCAGTGTTCTAGCTGAATAACACATTTCTCCACAGAACTGCATGGACAGATTTTCACTGAAGTGCCATTAATTGAAGACTCAAAGCTTACAGTGAGAACACTATCAATGTAACAACACAAAAAGAAAGAAAAATATAGTTGTGTTTACCTTTCTTTGTCTTGTAGGGGCCTCCATTGGGGTGTACATCTTGTAATGGGACAGACACCACCTTGGCCAGGCCAGCATTCATCATGTATTGATAGAGGCGCTTGAAAGTTCTCTCACAGAGACCCTAATGCAAAGAGAAGTTGCTAAAGTCACTGCAGCCCAAAAGCCTCACCTGTAGGTGACTAGTATCAAAGACATTCACACAGCCTGCTCTTAAAACACAGTATTTTGGGGTAGGGTATCAAAGAAGGATCTTAAAAGCCAACTAGTGCAGACTCCCAGCAGAGCACAGGGTGCTTCTGGAGTGTGTTCCATCCCTCCAACCCCACTGTCCAAACAAGCAGCAGCAACCAGAGCAGCACTGTGCAAGTGAGAACTGCAGGAGAATATCCACCAACAAAATTTCTCTGAAACTGTGGATTAAACAGAGCTCCTTCCTTTTGACAAACAGCAAGAGGAACTTCAACTAGTAGGTTTTGAAGATCCTTCTTTCGATAACCTACCCCAAAATTTTGCTCAGCTTTTAAAAAAGGGGCAGTATGAACGACTGCCTTTGACACTGATTGGTTCTACATGTGAGAATCTGAGAGAGTAATGAATCTCACCAGTTCTTCCCTCAGGTTTCCTAATGTTTCCATCTGGTTTGAACGAGCACTTAGCATACTTGAGAGCTTCTCCATCAGAATATCATATTTACTCCTCCTAACCAAGAAAATACAATTATTTTACATGTTAGCATGCATATAACTTTATACATTAGCTGCACCTGTACAAAATGTCAGTCACTACAAGTATGCTGAAGTGTTCTCAGGTTGTTTTAGGAATTTTCATTTTCTTTTCCACAGAATTCCAAGTTCTAATCATAAACAAGACAGGAAAAAAAACCAAATCTATTACAAATGTGTCTGAAGTGAGAACACTCAAAATGAGCAGAATGATTAGTGCTACAGTAAGGACAGTTAGGCTTCTGGAGGCAGGGGGCAGGCACTAGAACTGTCCAGCATTTAGAAGAAGAGTCAATACCAGGAAACTTTGATGGTTCTGTGACAACAGAGCAAACTTTCACCATAGTAAAAGGTCACAATCTGCCCAGATCTTTAAAACTTGTGAGTGGCACAAACCTGTCGACGTGAAAGCGAGTGAGAAGCAGCAGGATGGAGTGTTGGTGAGCTCCACTTGGCAGCCTGATGACGTGGGACTGCATTGTTATCAGCCCATTTCTGTCCAGCACCCTGCGGTGGTAATGCAGCTTTCCAGCATCCACTCTAAACAAAACATGACAAGGGATCTATAGGCACAGGAGCTGCTGCAATTCCAGCAGTTAATTAACCAGCACCCCCAAACACTGACCTAAGTGATCTGTGCTTGTAGTGACATGTTATGCTCATTTTCCAGGTGACAATGTCAGAGTACCAAAGTGAAGAGAACCCATGAAATTGATTTTCATCTTTAATCCAGTTCAACAGAGAGGAGTTCCTCTGATTTTAACCCACAGCCTCTGTGCACGATCACAGTGTCACAAGATGGCTGGATGAGACAGATGGAGCAGTATTGTACCCCCAGGCCCTCCTCCTCCAGCCTCTCCTTCTAGCTCCCTGCCCCTCCTGTAATTTCTGGTGTTCATCTCAGCCCTTGGTGAGCTGCTCAGGGCACTGAACTGATGAGAGAAGAGTCCACAAAAGATTTCCTCTCTGCTCCCACCTTCTTAAGTTACCTAAAAAAGCTTCCTAAGTGGCAATCCCAACACCACTGTGGGTTGCAGGCTATGTAAGCTTCCTCCCCTAAAAGCAGTGATTCCATAACAGCAATGTGAATCTTCTCCAGCACTGCAGTACAAACCCAGGAGTTCCCCAGGAGGCTGGGAATGCTCCTCCAGCAACAAAGTATAGGGACTAGTCTGGGAGCTGGTACCTCAGGCTCCTGCTCAGGCTGGAGGGAAACTGTACACAGGGCAGATGCTGGGGACAAAAGGTAGGCATCCAAGAATCTCTTCAGAACTTGGGCAAGATAAGATTCTTCCTCATCAGTTTAGAAAAAGAAATTAAAGTCATCATTCGATCCCAAATTTGAAGAGAAAGTGATTTAGAGGAAGCTAGAACTTCCACAAATGACAAATGTGTGTCTTGACTGACCCAACAGACAACCTCTGTCTCCATGAGAAGGTACCAGAAAGCATACTGAACTCCAGGAGGAGAGCAGGATGCTTCTAGCAATGCAGACTCCAAGAGCCAAGTGCTCCTGGTAGCAAACCTGCAGTTAAACCAATGCACTGGAATGCTTATGTGGAGAGATCTTTATAAATAACCAGTGGAAACTTATGCACTGTGATTTCATTCACACAGGAAGACACAAACTTACTTGAAGGCCCCGCTGTGAAGGTCCCTCTGAAGTTCTCCTTGCCACCTGGCACGACCCAAACGCTCCAGGATGCAGTAGGAGAAATCAGGGAGCTTTAAGTCAGGGTCCCCCTCCCAGCCTATCAGAGCTCGGTAACGCTGGTCTTGGGAGGCCACAATGACAAGTTTCTCTCCCCATCTATGGGGCAGAAGGGAAAGTAATGAGTTGTTATGACCTCTTTGGTTTTCTGGAGCTAAATCACTTCCCCCCTCAGACACAATTCCTGATACAACCTGCACAAACTGAGCGAGGACTGAACTGTAAAACTTAAACCCTTTTTACTCCCAGGCATAAGGATTTCACTCACTTTTCAACAGCTTCCATGTAAGTACAACAAGGCTGCAAATCTTTCCTCCTTATTTGATCAGTGATATCTACTCTCTCCTTAAAATACTGGCAGGAACCTTGTATGCCATCTTTATTATCCAAAATCATATGGACTGGATAAATATCATCTGAAAGAACAGGGTCTCTTTTCGTTTCCAGTATTCCTGTTTCAAGGTCTATTTCTTCATACCTGAAATAAAAGCAGAGAGCCCACATTTAACCAAGCTAGAATTAACTGGAATGGGAGATTTTTTTACAAACAATACTGATACATCTATGAAATTTCTTGGGAAAACGAAATTGTTTTGAAACCTCAGAATGGAAAAGCAGAGCTGTGCTCTTTGAGAACGAGCCTGAACGTCACCAGCATGCAGAGTGGGTGAGGCAGGAGGAAGGAATGCATTATTTCATCTCGAAATAGTCAAGGATATCGAAGCAGTGAGTAAAAGAAGGGCACAGAAACACTGGGGTACGGGAAGAAGGGGCACATGCTCCCTGGCGAAGCGGGACACAGAAATCCCGCCTGTACCGGAGCGGTAAACACCCGGTAGGACGGAAACCCGGCCGGGACGAGGCTCCGA